ATGAGTGAGTTTTACTCTTTGAAATTCCCCATACCCCCGAAGATTTATGGGTTGACTTATCCTCCTTTGCTTGCTTGTTTTGTAATATATTGTAATTTGATGTCACGGTAACAAACCTTTTGAAATGGAATACGAAAGTATAATTCTGAGAAGTCATGATTCGATCTTTATGTAATACGGGCGTCACCTTCCTGTGACGTCATCGTTCAATACCGCTAGGTCCCGGGAGCTACGCGTGAGGCGTCATCGCGTCTGGAACGCGAACTATTGAGGCCACTACCCACTGACCGCGATTTACATCGATTGTTTTATGCTAATATTTTAACATTTTTCTGTGAGTCATCCCTCGATGTCTGGTAATTTTTCATCTGTAGAAAAATGGTTAGATTTATAAGTTAACTTCTGTCAACAATTTCGTAGCACTTCTAAAGCTTTATTTGGCAATGTTATAACTGTAATACAGTCTTTTTAGTAATAGTTCATTTTGTCGTATAAAATTATAGTATATTTACGTCTGCTAATTTGCCCAAACCCTAAATACCTATTGTAGAGAGACTGAAGAGATAAAATGCTTTTTGTTTTTTAGCTTATTGTTATACAGAGAGACGTGGTGAGGGGACTTTGTTTTATAGTATAGTTATATTTCCAGTACACAATGTGCAATCAACTGCCGTAGACAATGCGTTCGGAATACACTACGAGCACTTTTCGGAGGGAGGGTTTTGAACGATCGCCAATATACTGACTCACGGTAGGCCAGTCTCCATTCTTTTTATTTTTACGTAAAACTTACTATGTATTGCAAGACTGTAATGTCCCCTGTGTTCACTAATATTTTATTTAACTTAAGTTTAATTGTTAGAGTTAGTGACTTATGAGTGGTTCAAGTATTCAGACCGTTTACTGATTTTTGTATTTGATATAATTGCAAAAAACAATATCAATACTCTGTTTCTGATTACTGGTCTTTTCCTATCATGTTTTTTGTGTTTCGACTATATTTTTATCCTGTTAATGTACAACAGACTAACATTTTCTTTACAGTCTCCTGTAAGGTATTTAGATGAATTGATTGATTTTTGTTAGAAGGTATCTCCAGAACAACTTAACGTATGACGGTTAAATTTGCCATAGATGTGGCGTATAATTTAGAAGAACATATAGGCTACTAATTATTATTTTTAGGGTTCCGTACCTCGAAAAGAAAAACAATATAATTTATAGGATCACTTTGTTGTCCGTTCATCTGTCTGTCTTTTTTAATATCGAGCGGACGGAGTCGCGCCCGACAGCTAGTAATAAACAAAAGTTAAATGATATCTTCTCTATACTTTTTAAAGTAGTTAATTTGTTTTATTATCTTTAATTAGGGTACGTTTGCAAAAGGACAAAAGTAAAAACTCCAATTAGTCATCCAACTCGACCCGACCTAATTTAATTCCGCAATGCAGTCCGCTAATTAACTGGCAAGGATCAAATGACCTAAGCACAAGTAACCGAGATAATCCTTTTAATTACTGCGCACTTCATACAACAGTACATCCGACAACTAGGATTAAAATTAAACTGTACTAAAAACAAATAAAATATTATTGTTTGTATTTCTTCATATCTATACAGAATTAGAATTTTACTGTAGTTGATTGTTATGAAAAGATTGCAGTTGAAATGTCTATTTAAATATATCACAAAGACTTTTTTTAGGTTAGGAAATTAAAACGGATTCCAAATTTTTGCATTTCACCCAAAATGAAGGTCGAAAAGAACGTCGTATGTATTCATCGTATATAGTTAACGTCTATTGGTAGAATCATGTTGGTTTCGTGGCAGTAAAAGTCCGTTGTATGATGAGCATCAACTTAGTATGAAGCATTGAATATTAAACATTTCTACAGCACGTGTCTTCCAACCACTAGGTCACATATGGATTAAATGCGGACTCCATTGTTGGTACCACTGTATGCGTATGCATTCACACTCGCGTCGGATTAATTCAATGCACACACTGTTATAGAATGTGTCGACAGTTAGTACAGTTTACACGAGGGTAGGACTGTTAAGCAGAGCAGCTTGTTGGAACCGGACACTTACTGTCAAATAGGCAAAGTCAAAATTGTATGAAACTGATATAATTTTTGCTTGTCACGTATTTACAGATTCCAACAGCGATACTAGCGATGTCTTATTGAATTTGACTTTGTCTGCGGCCCTGTTCTGTCTTGAAGTGTTCAAAAAGAAACAGTACCCTGCTGCTTCTTCGTGATACCCTCGTGTGAAAGTAACATCATACTAGGCTATCTGTTGCTTATAACGGTGCTATTATAGTGACAGCGCTGTAAGCGTGTCTAATAATTTCGCTTTGTTGTGCGGAATTGAGCTTGATCGACGTACCGTGCTTTAACGGAAACCATTTGATTGGTTTTACAGCAAATTGTAATTTTTTGCGCATCTTCTGATATATTTATAGAAATTCATTCGGTTTTTTGCGGTTTTTAAAGTGTTGACTTTTATCTATAAATAAATGAATGATAATTTACATAGAATGTAACGTTAAGTGTTTATAATATCCCTTTCTGTAGTATGTTATGAATAAATAAAAATAAATATAGAATAACATGCTGATATTACCTTTCTAATCTGTTTTTAAGTATTTATTGCTAACATTAACTTTAAATTTAATATTGCCTGTTTCAAATTTCAAGAAATTGTGATAGCGACAGGAATTATGATTAAGTACTGACCTAATTTCATTTGAATAAGAAAGTGTATAATAAATCGTACATAATAGGTCGTTGTGTGCCCACTGAATTCTGTGTGTTGCAAAATTTTGTTTGCTGTTCATATTCAGAACAATGGATCGGTGACTGTCGCAATAAATATCGTGATCGGACACGTTTCTGATGGAAAATGTGTTTATTTTATTCGAAGTTTATGATCTAGTAGCAGTCACCGGCAATTTTGTGCATGCGGGATTAAAAAAAAAATTAGTAATCTATGTTTTACTTGTTTGCCAAATTTAATCACGATCCGTTGAACCGTACGGGAGATACTTTTTAACAAAGATCCATCTAAACTTTCGCATTTATAACATTAGTAAGGTTCTGTGGAGCTCGAAATAAATTCGTCATAAACTAAGACCTGATATCTTCAAGATAAATATGTTTACTTCCTGCCATATTTCCTTTTGTTTTCAATATAACTTTATCTTAGGTCATAACATAATTGTCGGTATTGTTGTCACCCTCTGGAACAAGGTATTTATGCGTTAAGGAAGTTCTTTTTTTGGCTTTATCGTTGGAAGTTGAACTTTTTTATTAATATTTTAATTACGTGTACAGAAAAAATAATACATTTTATGTATTGTATGTATTTGAAAGATAATCTAATCTAAAAAAGAAAGTTAGTAAAATTTGTTAAAATCCCAACATAAACATTATAAAAATTAACAATCTTAACTTTGTAATATAAAAATGCATGTATCGGTTAGTCTAGTACAATGCAATAGATTATTACTAATTGATGGATGTTGCATAAACTCGTTTTTATCTATAGAAAGCTTTTGTCTACTGCAATTAATGTCAAAGAGTAGAAGTTTTACTGACAGGAATACAAACTTTAAAAAAAAATGCCACAGATAAAAAATTGAATGTGAAAGTTAACTTTTGTCTTTTTATAAGTCAGATTCTAAATTAGTAAATTGTTGCACGTTTTTGGTCTGATAAAAGACGCGTACAATTTATACGTGAATGCTTTATTAAGTAACTTCAAATTGGTTTGTGGGTTACTGGGATATTACTGAAAGTGGTGTTTTTGTTTACGTATTTAAAAATTTGAATGAAAAAAATTCGTATCATAAAGCGCGTTCCAATATTATGTGTATTAAAATGCACAATAAACTCTCATACCAAAAACACATAATAAAATTGGTATAAAACAAATTGTGCAATCAGGAAGAAGTGTGAATAAAAATATAATAATATATTAATGTATTATTTAACTGTGTGAGTGCCGGTATATAGCGACAGTCAAAAGGTCACAATATAATGCCAAAACAGGTTTGGTTTTAGCACTGCCTTTTGTTTGATGTGAATAACGCGTGTGACTCATCGACTATTTAGGAAAACGAAATACATATTATCAGGATATACAAACAAACCGCTTACCCGATGTTATCATTACTACGCATAGATATCTGCAACAATTTGATGAAATAAATGTTACCAACTTATTGGAGTAGTATAGAAATCCTGTTAAGGAAATTTATCCCCTATATTTTTTTTTATAGTATAAGGTAAAAGAAATGCGTAAGCTGCCACTTGAATTCGTCAAAATAACAAATTGACCGCTACTCATAGACATCCATATTTGCAGATGCATTGCCTACTTTAACAATAAAGGAGTGCAGTGAAAGATGATATTTCCGTTTTCTATTCGGCCAGACTTCAGCTAAATCCACCTCCTCTTTCCATTCCTTCTTCATAAGAAAATGATGGGAATAGGAAGACGCTTAACAATTACGCCTCTGGCACGCACACTCGGACAAAAAGCGGAACACTTTACGTCTGTCTCCTGTGGTCGTGGTATTTCATCAGTCGAGCCAGTGAATTTGTAAATAATGATAAAAATTTATTAGAATAAATAAACATTAAAAAGATTTTTATAGTTAACGAATTACCTATGTTTCATTATTTTTGTTATTATGTTATATTATTTTATTATGTTCGATGTTTAATGATCGATCAATTGCGTTTCTAAATTAATTTTATGAACATTAATAGACACGGATCTTTACGCTAGCATGTTGCAACATCTAGTAAAATACAAGGAGCGGCCGATTTAATGTTAAGCCTTGAGCAGGTGCATTATTGTAATAAAATACATAAATAACATTGAGTATGTATGCAGAGATGTTACGACTAGGTTCTCGTGTCATCTTCCAAATACACATAGGTACTTTTTAAATACGAATAATAAAGTTTTTTTCTTTTTGTAATTTGCAGTTCGTCGCCGCCATGTTCAACTTCATGAAGAAATCGAGTGTCCTAGCGCACGACTCCGGCGGCTGCGAAGAGCGCGACGGGGACAAGGACAGGAGAAAGAAGGAGAAAAAAGAACGGAAAGAGAGGGAGAAAAGAGAGCGCATAGCGGCTGGACTCGAAGAGCCGCTACGGTTGGAAGAGGTAACGTCTTTATTTGCCTTCAAATAATCTAGCTAAGGTTATAAATAAGAATTAATATCGCCATCACCAAATTTCAAAAACGAATTTTTAGGTTTAGTTAAAAGTCTATTTTCACTTGGCGCCTGGTTCCGCGATTGTAATAGTAGTCGCGGACGAGTTAGTGAAAATACGCGTCCGACGCGATTCCATACAAAATGCAAATGCGCGTAGCCGGTGCGCTACCTGGAAAAGGCGCTTACTTAGGGAACCTATTCAAAGTAAACAAGCAGTACAAAACCATGAGCAACAGTTGATATAGGAAATTTATAAAAAAAACATTTAATTTATGTTGTAAATTATTAAACTATTTCTTGAAGGGATTTGGGTATTAAGAACACTAGAATACCAATACGGCTTCTCTAGTATATTGATCGTTTTGTTACCTTTCTTTTATGTATGCGTCGGCGATAAACGAGGCCACAATTGATCTGATGTGCAAAACCCTTACCTTATTCAGAAAGTTATAGTTATCATTTATAGATTTTACGAAATGTCTAATATAATAATTTTATATATTAAATAACGTGAGAAGTAGGGTCACATTATTAGTTTTAATGGCACTAAGTAGAGCATTGACGGTAATCGTTACTATCTTACTTTTTACTAATATTACAAATGCGTATGTTTAAATGGATGGATGGATGAATCTTTGTTTTAAGGTATCTTCGGAGCGGCTGAACGGAGATCGCTAAAATTTAACATAGATGTAGAACATAGTCTGGAACGTGCTACTATGTATGTTATTTTTATTCCGCGCGGACGGAGTCGCGGGATACATCGAATATACGATCAACCTAAAGCTAATGCGGTAAAACAGTTAGTCACGTATCGGTTTTCGTTTTTTTCTTAAAATGACTAGACGACTACTGATCGATGTAATGCAAGATACCTAGGTACAATTATCGGCAGCTGAGTTCGCAACAGTCTGTTCCTTTTGGCAGCTGCGCATTCGGAAGCAGTTCGCGTATTGAGCGGAGTTTTTTTATTTCATCGATTGTTTACTTTGACGTGTCCTTTAGGCAGCAGATGTGAAATATTTAGTTGTTAACATTCTCGTTAACTTTATCAAATGAATATTTTTTTTGTTTTGTTATAAATGTTAATGGGAAAGGAGAATTTCATAATTGGAACGAATGCAACATGGAACAAAAAGCTGTTTTAAATATCTTTTGCTAAGTTTCTCTCCATGTTTTATATTTTTGCGTTTGTCATCTGTCCATTATATACTCGAAATGTTAGTCCATATGTTTTACAAATTCTAGTTTGTTTATACTCAATATACAGTTATTCAAAGGTGGTAGTTGGCCATGGTTATATCTAAACCGGTTTCGATCTAACGCTGGCCGGTAACCGTAAGTGGTTTCACCGCTATTTTTTGCCGACGTGCAGTATCTAATGCGCTATTTGAATTCAAATGCCAATATGTCGTGGTCTTCAAGGTTTCAATGTTAATAATCGTTCCCGGCGATAACTTTATAACCTTAGGGTGCTGCCACAATATGGCGATGTCTACGATAGTAAAATGTGCATCTTTACCGGTCTTAGATTACGAGTATACGTGACCACTTAAACCACTTTTTGGACTGAATGACTTACTTGAAGGTAACTTGACTCGAGTCTTTGATTTTCCTCAGGAACCTTTGTTAAAACGAGTGCTTTATCAATGGTATTTCCTGTTAATCGACACATGAATTGATTGTTAAAATAGTATTTGATTATTAGGACTAATCTATTCGCTGTATCTATACAATACAAAGATCTTGTTTTTAAACATATCTAGTGTGTACACACCCTGTTACCAGAATAGTGATTAATTCGTGACTCGCGTAGTCTAGTCTCGGCCATTCAATCACTGCGCGTATGTTTACGATAGCGGATGAAACCCAATGCCCAGACGATACTCAGCCAGCGTTGGTCGGTTGCTTTATTTACGTTCATTTGTTTATTGATTTACAATATTAGGGGATGTTTACATAACTGATGTGGCCATGGTAATGCGTCTTTAGCTTGTAACCAGTGATATGTAAACTCTATAACTTCTTGTTTATGGATTAGATTATTACTAGTAAAATATAGAATTAGCCAATGTGGGTTTCCACAATCGAAACATTCTATATCCATGTCAAAATTTCATCGACGTGCGTCCAACATCCATCCATTAATCCAAACATTTGGAATTACAATATTAGTAAGATTGTTATAAAGTGGTGTGTATAATCCTACAAAGTATTATAATCCTAATGAAACCAAAACAAAAGGTATATTTATTAGCCTCGCCCAGTTTCGCGCATGACTTTCGCAATAGGTCGACGTTTACTGTTACTTTTGCTATGGAAAGTGCATTGTTATAAATTACTTTACCAATACTGCTGAGGTATCTCATAACGTCGGAGCAAAATATAACTAAATGTTGGTTTCAACAATAAATTCTTTTCTTTTTCCAAAAGATTTCATTTCGGTATCCCAAAGCCCTGTCCAAATATTTAGGACTTTACTAGGCTAGACACTTACACAAATTAATCATAGGGATATTTATATCGCGATAAGTAAGCGCTTGTTACGTTATCAAAATCCTTTTAGACATAATGATTGCTAACAACATAATACGTCTTCTTGTCATCGATATACTCGAGTTTCGCATTATGTTATCGGACAAGTTTGTGTCATCGAGATTGTGAATCGATTATCTAGATAATACTGTCAGTGAAGTGTTTAATATTATTTATAATCAACACGCTATTGACTCGGATCATTACTATTCGAAGCACATACGTTGACATGATCAGGCGATTGTCTTCGTTGGCTACTTATAATCTTTCTAATGCTACTTTATCAGGGGTCAGCGGTACTCAACGGGGTTTCGTCTTCAAAATCGATCTATCATTCTTCATTTCAGTCATATCTTGATGATAACTTTTCACGCGCCATTGGTTTCTTTATCCCATAAAGTACCATCAACTCGTACGGCGAGTTCAATTTCATTAAAATCTCTGTATAAAACATATCGTCATCCATGTCATTATCTTTAACAAAAATGAGCTAACAATATGTTTTAAACGGAGAGTTTGGTCTCAGGAACCCACGGTCAATCTATCCATCCATCTCTTCTTCGTGATAATAATCGATCTCTACTTAGGACTACTTTTATATTCGATTATAATATGGCTTATAATTAAGTGTAAAAAGTGAAATCACGAGTATGTAATCGTTTCTGGGTGGATCTATTTATTGTATTCATTATTATTAAAGATTTAAACTTTCCTTTTTTATTCCATGTCTGTATTTACACTACTTTTCGTCTTTCAATGAATCATGTAACGTCTACTACGGTTTACTCGTCGTATAAACAATCTACAATGTTTAAGGTACTTTGGTAAACTAAATAGTGGGCTGATAATAGATTAAGAGAGGTTACTTTTATGTTTTTTGTAGGAATTTCGTAAAAATTAAATTTAAATTAAATAGTTATTTGTTTGTCTATGTTTTGTGTATCTTGGGATGGTTAAAAATTTATGTTTCAACATCCTGTAGCATTCTGTAATTTTGTGTTAAATTCCTAACAATACTTGATTTATTTAAATACTTTGTGTAGTAGCATTATCGGGTACAAATGTGTTATATTACGGTGCATTGACCTTAAATGTGACGTAATGCATTAGGTCATTGTGTACCTTGAAGGTGTTACGTGACGATTCCCTTACAATTAACAATGGATCTATTTGTAGCAGGGAAATTGATTTCTTTATTTCGTCAGTCATGTAAAAAAATAAAGAATGTAGAAGTATGGTGCAATGATAAACCGCCGTAGAATATTCATAATTCACAAGTTACATAAGATTACAGTCATTCTGCTGTAGTTTTGGTCACTTAGTGACACCTTATATGCAGATTAAACGACTGTTATCCTTTAGCCCTTTAGAAAACATTTATTGCATAAGATATTCATACCCCGTCTGGCTTTCATACGACCTTTTCAATAAGTTCGAAGTCCGAGCCGAATTGTTTGCGTTGTATCGCCGCATCCGATCGTTTAATTGTTTCAAACGTTTGGTAACAACACGCTCTGGTTTCACCGGACGCACCACGTTTGTCTGCCGACATTTAGGACGATGGCCCTTTAATAGATAATCAGGGTGACCATGATTGATATTTGGCGAGACTGTCCGAACTGGTTTGACGCTTGCAGTTATGCCGGTGGAAAGTAAAACTAAATGCTGTGAGTAATACTTATACTAAATTGCACAAGAAGTTCGAAACAAGAATTGAGAAAAATCCCCGCAGTTATGGAGAGGGGTCATAATATTTTTATAAACTTCTGTTGTGCAATATCGCAGAGTTTTATCAAGTACCTTTTTAAGTTATATCTGCCTATACATATGTATAAGAAGATTGAAGGTAACAAAGAAATGTCTGGATAGTTGGTCATTAAGTAGGCCGTTACGGTCAGTGGTCAGGACCGAACGGTGTACGATGTCTTACATGATCCGTTGGGAAACTTTAGTATCAATTATATTCATAATACTAATACCTATTTATAACGTAAAAAGAAAAAAAGTGTTATGCTATTAAAATTAAATACAAATTAAAATAAGAAGTCGCGCAGAGTAACTAAAAAGGAAAAGAAATATTGACATGTTTTTTTTAACTCGATTAAAACATTAAAAAGAACTCAATTAAGAAAAAACTATTTTTATCATCATTTATAAGGTTTATAAGTAGAACATATTACTTTCACGTCATTGCTATTTCATAACTAAAGGCGTTATGTTTTTCCTATTCGGACATTGTATTCGTGCCACTATTATTTTATAGAAGTCTGCCTTATATCGTTTGATGGTTTAAATGCGTGATATTTGCGTGATATATATGCCGTTAGCTTCCCCACGCTGAGTAGATATCTATGTTATTGTGTGGGCGGCAATTTCGAAAATGGCGGAGCATGCACGGTAATTGAATTAGTGATATTAATGTTTGTTTAACTATCAAATAAACCACTCGTTCTATTTACTCTAATAGTGATAACACACTTTATGCTGTTCTAGTTTTCGAAGAGTATCTATCATGGACTCGGAGTTCTACTTCTATTAAATATAGGTTTAAAAATATAATATAAGTTTCAAAGTACACAAACCACAGATTAAAATTCTTTAATTAAAAATAATACATTGTGAAAATAAGAAAAGATATTTATGTAGGAACACTAGCTGTCGCTCGCGACTCCGTCCGTGCGGGATAAAAAAATTATATAGTAGCCGATTCTCAGACCTACTTGATATGCTCACAAAATTTCATGAGAATCGGTCAAGCCGTTTCGGAGGAGTATGGGAACGAAAATTGTGACGCGAGAATTTTATATATAAGATATATATTATGTATCGAAATATTTGTATAACGCGTGTTCTGATTTTATTCCGCGATGTGGGGTGAATAAGCCATTCTTGTATAAATATATATATCTATTAAATATATATAATAAATATCGCTAAATAAATAAATAAATAACAATTTACTTTTAATTACTAAACATTCAGTTGTTGTTTTAACATAGTTTCCTATACTAATATTTTGTTTTCCGCTAAGACCACTTACCTACATAAGGACAGATAACGTGTTTGTTTCCCGGTTAATATAATTTACTGTGTCCTATTGTTTTGTAATATTTGAATCAATTGAATTAATATATTGCGTTCCTTCGAAGACATATACACAAAATATTCGATATTTATGCGACTATATAGCGCCATCTAGTTGACGATAACAGATGACATATTAGTAATCAATATTCCAAACAATTAATAATGCAATTACCTGTCAAAAGATGGCGTATACAAACACAACATCAAACTGGCGCAAATTATAACTTATGTTATTTCGCCTTTAAATTATGTCATACAGTTTATACTGAATTGTACATTCTTAGAAACCAATTTACTTCTTTTAAAAGCATATCTTATCTTCAACTATGTTAAGGAAATCTTATTGGATATTTGTTTTCTTATTATAAGATTATGAGCTGTTTGTAACTGAATCACGCATTTGCAGAACCTAAATTATTTAATTCAATGAAAATTCTTACTAATAAAATCATACACTTAGGTTGAGTACGTTATGACAATCATTACTAGTATCAAGCATCCGTAAATGCCCTAAAATTAGAAGCAAAATAATAGAAATAAAAGATACAAACGAATTGAAAACCTCGTCTTATTTGGAGTCGCATAAAAAGCAGTAGTGGCGGCAAAAAGGTTAAATCTGAATCGACTGGTCGCTTCACGGCGAGAAACTTTACAGAGGAGAAAAAGAAACATACTTTTGGATTAGTATGATATCATAATCCACTTCACATGCTCGTCTCTTTTATTACTACTTTATTAATCCCATCTTCTTTCCTATATAAATATTGGCAACTCCTTTGTAAGTTACATAATATCATATGGTTGTCTATAGTCTAGTTCATAGTCATAGTTTCTAGTCTATAGTCTATAGTACCATAGTCTAGAGAATAAATCCAATGCTTATTTAACTACTTTAATCTATATCAAAAAGCTTGGAAACGTAACTGCATTCTGGATGAAAGGTGAAACAGCTTATTTACATTCCTTTGTCAGTGCGAATGTGATTCACGTTGAAGAGTTATTGTAACACTTTCCATTCGTTCTATTGTTTATAGTAAAAGGTACCGATAGAATTCTTTAAGCATTCATAGGTAATTTAAGGTTATGACCTTGAAAGCAAATCATTCAATTGGGTAGGCCCTAATCACTTACTCAGTATTAACGTTGCCGTACCATGTGCAGTATTAATATCGACATACCCGTACAACGAGTTCATATCTTATGATATTTCTTAAGACATGTAAATCTTTTCGTTTTAACATGTGTGCTTTTAAACGGTGTCTCGATTGTGCCATGACCAATGCATTAAAAACTGGCTTAATTGAGCTCTGGTGATATTAGCGGTTACGTTTTAATATAGTAATGCATCCAAGAGTCATTCAATCGACGTATAGGCGTACGATAGTATATCTAATCATTTGTTATTTGTTTGTACGATTGTCCGTTTCTGTTTGTAAATATTTCCACAATGAACCCGAGATAATTGTGGTGGCATAGCAATTAGCGTGAGCTTGTGCGGTCGGAACTGGGACAAGTCGCTGTCGGGTCATCGTGTTGTGTTAGAAGCATGGATACTCGTATGTGGAAAATAGATTCTACTAGGACAGTTCGAGTGCTCGGAATCGCTTTCAGTGCTTTGGTAATTTTTTACATTCTTTTCTTTTCCGTAGAAATGTGATTGAAAGTTTGATTATGTGTTATTTGTATTACGCTTGTGGTGACCTAAATGACCAGTTTTTTAAAGGTTTTTAATGTCGATAAAAATTGGTAAGGTTAGCAACAGAATACCTTTGTACGCCTCTATTCCTAATTCTCAATATGATGCCCTGAATTTTCGCCTTACGTGGAAAGATAATCGTGCTACAGAGTAAATTACAACTGAAATTATATTTACTTTACTTGACTGTTTCAATACTATTAATATTAATAACTCTTAATTACATGTATTTACTTAAAAACGAAGAATTACAGAAGTTTGATATTGCTCGATTGTCATGTCTTTTGGTCATTGTTGACGTTAGCACGGTGTATGGGAGCCAACGGTTCTTCAGCCGCCCCCTTTCACTGCACCAGCTTTTAGTTACCAGAGCGTAAATATTGCGGTGAATGAAGATTTATCTCTCATTCATCGTATTACATTCTCTCATTAATCTCGCAACTTTTCTTAGAAATTGTATTCAATCACTACGTACGAAAGGTATTTCCTATTTTTGTTTTACTCTGTGTAAAAGAATACTATAAAGTACGAAGAAATACAGATAAAACAGTTACCTTTAAATCATAATATAACTTAATAAAGTTCGCGATGTAATTATGAAATGATTTCTTACGTCCAACTTGTCCGAAAATGGAATTCGGTATGCGCATTAACGGCACAAAAAGTCGGAAATTACTCAACGGACAGGATCGAATCTGGAACCTGTTTTATATAATTTGTTCCTACACTTTCGTTGGCGTCGCATCGGCGGATTCTCCGACCTCCCGACACGCTTGGAATGCGGTTTTTTACAATTGCACGATGTGACCGAGTATCATCACCGTTTCCACTACTGTTATAAATATATGATTTTGACTTGAAAATGAAAGTCACAACTCTTTCAAGATCAAGTCATCTATCTATCATGTTTATTTGCTCAAGTGATCTTTGTGGATGGATTAATAATTGCTTTCACGTTACAATCTACATCGCAGATGTTACCCGTCGCTATCTCACAACTAGCAGACAGTTAAGATAGAACGGTTTTAATGCTCACTAGACCGTAACTCGACACAACACTATAAATACAATATTGTTAATATAACTTGTTTTATTTTCAGGTTCGACGGTCTCTAAAATTACGTGGCCGACGTAAAGAAAAGGAAAAACTACCTTCCGGCATCACAGCCGACTATACCGCGTCTCTGTTCGCCCATCTCGAGCAAGATTCAAATTATTCCACCTATCCGATCATTTCGACTTCGGGATCCAATTCCAATCTCAGCGATGAAAACAACCACCTCTCTCCCGGATACCCGACACCGCTAAATAATTGGAACAAAAAGGAAGGAGTATTGCAGTCCGACAGTTCGGAGACGTCACTAAATTCCTTGAATAATCCGAATAATACTAACAGCAGCCCCCGACAGGCGCAAAATCTACCTCCGATACCACCGCGACCACCGAAACGAGGAATCCTCAAAGGACCGCGTTTAAGCAATACTAGTTCTAATTCTCAAGAAAGCAGCGTTCATAATACCGACACAGTAGACTACATGAACGGTCAGGACACTAATGTTGTGGCACGAAATACGCAACAAAACGAAGTCATCTCTTACGGAATTCCGCCATCGAAGAGCACCTCGTCCAGTGATGATATGCAACAAATACAAAACTTTACCAAAAAAGTAATTCATAGTCCCATAGAAAATCAATATAAAAACTATAAAAATAATGCTAACAATCCATCAATTACAACCCAGGATGTTGATGAAACACCAAAGACGAACGGCAACAATTACCTAGGAGTTACTTCAACGTCTCCGAGCGCTGATTCCTTAACTGATACAACAACAAATTCATCATTTGCCACACCACCGTTTTCCACCTCACCTGTAGGGGAATCGCAAGGCTTCCACAGATGGTCCCGAACGAGTACGTTCGATGATGTGTACCTACCGTTACCTCCATTAAAACCTTTACAACTACCGAAGCCAAGAACGCTGATTATCCAAAGACAGAAAGCACCTCGTAATGATTTCGGGTTTAGCCTTCGCCGGGCGATGGTTCAAGAAAGAGTGTTTATTGGTGATCTTAAAGAATTGACGGGTCACGAAGAGAATGGATTGGCTAACGGGGACAGTAAATGTAATGGTAACGTAATGATAGTGTCAAAGTTGACGCATAAAGCTGTGATCCTCGCTGAGCCTGGTTCCTATCCTGGGGCGAGTGAGACTGGACTTCTGCCCGGTGATAGACTAATCGAAGTAAACAGTGTTAACGTGGAAGGAAAGAGCAGGGAAGAAGTGATTGACCTTATCAAAGGGAGCCAGGACTCTGTTACCATAAAGGTTAGTTTCCTTTTTGTATTTTCATTTGATGTTTCGTTTATTATGTGTATAAAATAATATGAGAGTCGTAGGTAAAGCGAAGTTTATGTCTCCTCACGGCTCTTCCTGATTCTTGATTCTAAAACGAGGGGCGATGTTAGACTTTGCTTAATAGTTAAAAGGTATAAATAAATTACTATGGTGCATGTTTAATAGTTTATCTCACTAAACGACGTTTTGAACAAAGTGGATGCATTTGATGTTCTGTCATAAAGATCTGACATTGGTTGAGCTAGCTTTAAATCAAAATGAGAGTGGTATAGGTTATTTTAAGTTCAAATTATGTTTATTATAACAAACGCATTAAGCATGACTTTATCGCTTATCTTTTGTTTCATTCTGTCATAAAATTGGCATGTGGTTTAAAAAAAAAACCACGGTATTTCAAGAACCACTTATCAACTCAAACGTGGTTTGTCATACGCATACTTTCTTTTGTCATTATTGAATTCAATATGTAATTCGAATTTGAAATTATAAACTCCATAAAAGGATTGGTCGGTTTCATAGATCATTAGTTACATTTCTTGAGCACTGAAGCTTGTTGGTTTTAACAAGTAAAAATGATTGTACAGTTAACTGTTAACCGGGTCTTTGAATGATTTATACTTTCAGTCTTGTTACCGATATAATTAGTGTTTAGAATATTTATTGTTCGTACTCTCTTAAAACCATAAGAAAAATATAGATATCTCTCTCACTCTCAATGGAAAAAACAGAGATAACAATACTCTTCTAATGTTTTAGACAGTTGAAATTGGTTCGAATCGCATTTTATTTCTACTATAGAAATTAGTTCTAATATGTAAACAGATTAATATTTAAAATGTAATTCTAATGTCAAATAACATGATATAGAAACTCTTTTCTCTAACCCTCTTTGGTGAATAACGAATAACATTTTGGGCCAGGTACAACCGATAGCTGAGTTGTGCGAGTTGTCACGTCGCCGGGCGGCTGACGGTGTCGATGTGGACCTTTCTGATAGCAACGTAAGGGGTGGTACCCTCAGTCGATCTGGCAGTCGCAGGTTCAATACCACACAGGTAAGTTGAATAAAAATGTGCTCTTTATGTGTGTTTGCCTGCGTATCACTCCAAAAATTCGAAGTAAATGTGATACATATTTGTGTAGACTTACGTTATGATAAAATTACAAAGTAGGGAGAGAAAAATGTTTAAAATACACGTTCGTCATATCCATAATGGTAATAATACCACAAAAAGGTTTTTGGTTACTTGAAAAGTTGCCAATTTTTATACAGAATAAATACGATGAAGTGCAAGGCTTTTGGCAGTGGCTGTTGAACTTTAAATGTATAATACTCTGCCAATTTTTATTTTATTTTTAATAAGAAAAGAGTTACGATATGTTACAAAAATATAATATGGACTCAATAGAATCAAACTACTTCCGATTAAAAAAGAAAAAGTAATTTAGTTTCAATCAAGTTTTAATTTATGATTACATTAAGCTATAACGTTTTTACTTTAGTAAATTACATTTGAGAATCGATTAAATCAGACAATAGAAGTAGTTGCTACTATTTATCGATTATAATATCGATTTTAATGTTGTGACAGAGTATCGCGCAACTTTTTACTCGACTCTGCGACTCGATTGTTACAGCATATTGCGAGATCACATCCATTTAATCGTGATAAATTGATTACTGTGTTAAATTACTTCTGTTGCTTTTATTCTTTGTATAAATATTACTTTGGCTAATTTCGCTTAAATCTTTCGAAATGAATTGGATAATTAAATAACTCAAAGTTAGGTAAATATATTTTTTTAATTACATTTTGCCTTTAGAAGATGAGGTATCCTCATATTCTGGTTAATTGGCCACGGCAAGTTTTCTTTAACTTAATCTTTGACTTGAGACTTGTAAAACCAATTGTAAGTAGTGAACGTGATATGTTGTGCCCCACACGCTAAACAATTACGGACCCCAGCGCCGCCCCGAGCGATCTGACTCACTCGCGCCGTCTGGATTAATTAACTGATCTCTATTGACCGCGACAAACTTAATTGTGATCGAATAAACTTATCTATAACTATATCTATATATCTAAAAGAAAGTCGTGTTAGTTACACTATTTTAACTCAAGAACGGTTTTACTGACATGGCTGAAAATTGGTGAGGAGGTAGCTTAGAGCCAGGAGACGGATATATGATACTATTTTTTTTTTCGAATGCCTTGAAGAGCTGCTTTTTATTAAACTTACTAATATTATAAATGCGAATGTTTAGATGGATGTGATGCGGATAGATGGATGGGTTGGCTACACTAATTAAGTTTTTAATATATCCACGCGGACAGAGTCGCGGGCGACGGCTAGTTTTATATAATACTACCAGTTGTAAAGTTTCTCATCAACAAATTAACAATTATTAGACACTGGGCAAAATAAGCATAACCAATTTTCAACTCATTTGGACCGCTTTCTATCGTTTCGCAATGAAATTTATTTGATACATTTTCCATTTATTTTATCAAATTTCTCTAATTTACTCACTAAATCTTCGGAGAATCCGTGTAAGAAAATACGAAGGTTAGCTTCGATGGTAAAGGCGGGAACCTTGGAGGGTAAGGTTGCAGATAGGGCGGCGGAGCGTGATGCCCTGTCTAGACGTTGCACCCTCCTGTAAATAAACTACCCCTTATAAGCTTCGGATAGGTCGTTAAACTTAATCGAAATATGTATTAAGAAACCCTTAATATAAGAATATATTACCGCAATACGATTTTTTCAAATCAAACGCTAAGATTCTGACAATAACCCGTAGACGGTAAACAGGGAAAAATAAATCGTTGAAAGATCTTTATTTTATCTCTATTTGTTATACTATGAAACAGTTTTTTTTTCCTAACCCATTGAGTAATAAACTTGTATGTATTTTATTATTATTAACGCAAATAAAGGTCTTAACAAGGATTTTGCCGGTAGAGTAGATTGTGTCCTAGATTGAACAGCATCGCTATCCGATTATAACTTTTCTCATTGAAAAAGTTGTACGTTATTTACAATGAAAAAGAAACTATATTAAAAAAACGCGCTTTTAGATAAAGTTAAAATTTTATATAGGTCTATGAACGTTACTAAAATATATACAGTGGCAACTGAACTTTTAAGGGAATTATATTTTTACATCGGAAATAAGTATCATTTATAAAGCGCGGAATTAAAAAAAGGGTCTTGACAGACAGACGGACGGACAACAAAGCGATCCTATAAGGGTTCCATTTTTTTCCTATGAGGTACGGAACCCTAAAATATTTATTAGTTGCCAAATTTCAACGAGATTCATGCAGCTGTTCATGAAATACATTCTTACAAACATCTATCTAACCATTCACATTTATATTAGTTAAGATAGCCTGAAAATTTATGTATGCTAGCGCCATCTATGTTTTATTAACAGCCAACTGTGACGTTCAGTGTATTATTTGATCCATTATCTTTTAAAAATATTTAAATAATAAAAATATAAAGGAAACAACCAATTGATAGACCACTTGGTTTATTTATCTTTTTTTTAATTTAAATAAAGTATAATTTACATATAATAATGTTATTCTATATGACTTGAAATTATTTTACAGTTATATTTTACAATTATTCAAAGATTATTTTTATTAAGTCTGATTAAAAATGATAAATTTATATACAAAATTGTGTACATGTAACAGTAATAAAAATTTAGTCATCCTTAACAATATCTCCGGTACAACAATAGAACCAGTTCTTATATAACCAAAGTTTGGTAAGAAAAAAAAATTATGTCTATGGCTGTACATGAAATAATAATGTTTGCTACTGTATACAGAGTTATCTGTCATTTACTGAACCAACATTTAACATTTAATCCTAATATCTCACATTCACCATACATTATTGCCGTTAATTCGAACATGTTTTCACCTAAGTGTGGACTAAATTGTGTTCCAAAACACTATAAGGCAATAAAACTTTTATTACAACTATTACATATAATTGTAATTGTTTAATTAAACTTGAATGAAGTTTTAATATAATACATACCACAAGACTAAACCATTGTCATACTAAAATCCTTTTTAAAGTAATCAGTACTTTGACACATCACAAGTAAATATTCACTAATTTCTTGTCACTTTCCCACAGTTATTTATTTTTGTAAGTTTTTATCAAAACTTTGCATTTCATATTTTGCTATTACATTACAAACTTCCATTTTCACTTTAGGAATCAAATTCGGTTGTAATTTTTTAACACTAGCCGCCATACTTCTGAAGAATACATCTATTTCATTTGTATTTTCTTTAAGAACTTTTTCTATTAACTTATCAATGACTTGCGACCTCTGTTCAGGTGTCTTTTGGTCTTCTACATATCTAACATAAGTTTTTGGTCCATTAACTACCAATGGTTTTGGTAGTATTTTAACCGGAGGCACATTTCTAGGAACTGGTAAATTTTTCTTCCTACCTGCACCTCTTTTTACCTTCTTAGGTGGTTCCATAGAGTTTTGTTCCGTCTTTGGCAATATTTTAATGTAAGCATTTTGTTTTAATTGAGGTTCTTGTGTATCTTCCACAACTGTAACCTGAAATCGGAGAAAAACATGGTGAAAAGTAACAGAATTATTTAAAATATATAATACTTGGCAAGTGCCATACAACTTTTTATTATTAGAATTGATAAAAACCAAAACATATTCCTTAGCATATTATCTGTAGATAGAAAGTCTAGGTTTCCTTGTCAACCTGTCCGTCAAAAAGAGTATAAGAGATACATCTCTTTTCCTTGCCGGAGTCAATGTCTGCATTTCAAGTGGCATTTATTTGCTAACAAGATGGGCATCACTAACAATCAAATTTAAAGTATAAGTGGTCAATTTTTTTTGTTTTTTCTCTAAATAATTAACTTTAATCCTTTTCTCATTACTGTTTGGATGTTAATAAATTTCACAGTTATGGTTGAAATTACACATAAGTTAAATTGATTATGTGACTTTTTAAAGATAATGTAGATTGAATTATGCACATGCTTACTTCACTAACTTCATAGTATTCTTGGTTATCAGTAATAACTTGCTCTGGGCCTACAATTGTTTCTATAAGCATGTCATCTTTTACTTCATCATCCATTTTAACGGACACCTCTCCAAGCTCTGTGCCTTCAAATAAGAATTGGAGCTTCTCAAATATGTTGGCTTTAGTTTTATGCAGAGTGCCCAGTCGCTTGCTTCTCATGAAGCCATCGCGCAGACCACGCCAGCGTTTCTTGCATTCCTCGACTGAAAATAAACATATTTGTTTGTTAGTAAATTGAAACTGATGAATAATAAAGTATATGGTTTGTTAAAAACTATGAAAAGAAAACGTCTTTAAAATAAATCAGGCTAGGTTCAAAACAACTAAAGTTATAAACTCATATAATCTATAAATTTCAAATATTATTGTAAAACATTAATAACAGCGATAACTGCTTATTTTATTTAAGAAATTTATATTTTATATAATGTTATTAGTAGAATATTTTTTATTTGCAAAACATAAAATATTTATGGATGTAAATTATGCAATGTTAAAAGCATTCATTTATTACCTGAAAAGTTTATATTTTGTTAAGTTTCATTAATCACAGTGCAAACATTGCTTAAAGCAAGTTTATGCATTTTTATATCCATAACAAACATTTCGCGCTCGTTTTATAAACTTTTCATGGTTTCAATAATTTTACGAAAGTCTACTCGTTCATTTGCGGTAACCGTATTTCGGTGCAGTTGTGTCGTGCAGCACACAAAGCGAACCAATCCACGTCACGTACTTACCTGGCTTCGATAAAGCTGTTGCTATTTCTTGCCATGTACATTCACGAGCCAAAATATTCTTCCTCGATGGATCAAAATAATTATATAAACAAGTCTGCGGTTCCACTAATTCAACAAGTCTCTCGTCCTCTTCTGTGGTCCATCCGACGGCATTCAATGGCATTTTCTAGTTCTCGTTTTAGCTTGCGTCACAACGTCACAACAAAATGTCGGCCACCTATCGCGAACACGAATGAAAATAGCTGCGCTGCGCAGCACGACGTCACGACCTCCCAATGGCTGCCATGCTGACGTTTGACTTGTTTGTGAATTCCGAAGGAGATTATTTTATTATTGTTTCTTGTAAAAAAAATATTGTTTTTAATTCTATTTAGTAATTTTTAAATACTTTATTTTAAAGCTTACGTTTTGTTTTATGAACTAGATTTAATTAAACAGTTTTACTGTTGACACTTACGCCATCTCTTGTTGAATTTTGAAATGTATTTGCTAAGGAGATAAGGAATATAGCTGCTATAACCTACTTCATAGATGGCGCCTTATAAAAGTAAAATTGAATTCAATGATTGACGGTTTCCGATTCCTGTACTTTTGCCATTAACTCCGATACATATAAAACGATCTTAGTATCGCAAAAATATGAATAGTCATTTATAAAATAATTAGTACTTTCAGTAGACAGAAGGTGTGAGAAAACTCAATTAGGTTCCTGTTTACTTCTTAACTTAATATACCTACAAGGAACTTGAGAATGTAGCAACATAAACATGTACTTTTTCCTTTGCCTTTTTATCTTCTAGCGTAAAACCGTTATAAAATCCTAATTTTGTACGTGTTATAAAATTTATCTCAAACACACAGACGATTATACCTTAGGCCCTTGATAACATGATCACAATGTAAGCAAACATTTTATAGAATTATAGCACTGGTTTAAGAGCTTTTGATAAGATGAAATTTTTGAAATATTCAGTTCTTACATTTTAAGTAATCACATTGTTGTTGGTGGAGGGACACAACCTTGTTACATCATATGCCCCCTGAAGTTTGTGACCTTTATATTATCACAATACTAGCACTCGTCAGCGCAGGATTAAAAAAATAAAGTAGCCTATAATATGCCCGCGTGCAATAGTTACGTACCCGCGGTATGTTTATTTGATATTATGTTTGTTTTTTGTTAGTGGCGCCCCCTGTCATGTTACATCTCTGAAAAGAGTGTGACGGTGTAACTTAATTATTTCAAATAGTAACAGTTGTTTGTTAACAGTTTATCGAGGCACTGTTGTGCAATTATGAATATGTAATTATATCACGGTCGACAACATGATAAATATAAATCAACACATGCGAGTCGCGCTGTTTGAACTCGTATGGACATTGTAATTACACAATTACACATGTGGGTAGTGGTTATTTATGCGTTCAGTTATTAACAGATCGCTTCAAAGTAGCGAGCTTTGTAATTCATTTTGATTACACTGATTGCGAGCTACACTCGAGGCTGCTTGTAAAGCAAACGCATAATATTTTAATCTTTAAAAGCCATCTATAGCACCTTTTGTGACTGCCGACACTTAGATTTTTAATGTAACACGACGCTACGTTTATAAGTAATGTTAAATTTAAACATGTTGATTTTAATCCGTTGCGCAAAATTTGTATTGTCATTAAATACACATGTTTATTACGTTAAAGGGAAATTATATTGAATTCGATGTATAGGATGTGATATTTTCGCCGCTGCAGTGAAGCGTGGCGCTAGGGTGGTGATCGCTCAGCTGCGCTTCCGTAGTACAAGGAGCGTCTGATAACTATAACATGATATGTTATTACAACGCTCCTTTCAACTTTCTTTACTACATAACACTTACACTCGTAATCTAGAGGAAACAGTGTGACGGATTTTTATTAGGAGTGATAACATCTAATAAATTTTTATACCTGCGTATTATCGTACAGCAACTTTATGTTACGCGACTATTGCTATTTATTATTTAAATTAAAAAATGTAATTTATGTTATTCATCTTTTATGCATATTATTTGCTTTGATTAAAAATTTCAAACTAATCCATTGTAGTTATGAAGTATATAAATTGTTTATTTAGTGATTAGAAGGAATTTTAATGAAAACAATAATTTCTATTATTACGTAATAATAAACATTTGTTTTAAATGCAAAATAATATTTGTGAAACACAAAGATTATGAGTAATACAAAGTAATACCTTGAGAGTTTAAAAAATATGTTTATCTATGAGTGAATTAATTAAATCTAACCGGGGGTTTACACCCGTACGAAACTGTATTGATATCTTAGTTATTCAATTAGAATGAGAGAGATGGTCATATGTTTTTAATACAATTGATTCCGCAGTGGAAACCTACGGGAACACATATATTTTTAAAGAAAGTTAAACAGTTATAGTAAGATGGTCTTGTAGACCTTTTACCAACTTTTGTCGCATAGACAGTCCGTGATCAAGGCGCATGCAACTATGCCGAATTATTGGGAGCTCAAACAGCTTAATCGTGATAGTAATCCCGTTTCTTACGAATATTATGTTAGGAAAAACTTCAGTAAGAACTTTAAAGTTCTTGCTTACTTTTGTCTTTAGGTTAATTGCTTTCATGGCAATTTATGATAATTGCTAATTGAAGCTTGTTTTGAGGAATTGCGATATAAATGCGTTATGACTTAATTACATTTCTGTCATTATGTCATTCGTTTAGTCTGAACTAGATCCGTTGATGTTTGTTTTAATTGATAAAATAATTAATAATTAATTGCCTTGCTGCAAGGTATCGGCAAATTGACAGTCGTTTAAATAAATTTTGATACATGATATTTAAAATGGGTGATGTTTGTGAATTGAGCAAACCTTACTTCTTACTAATATTATAAATGGATGTATGGATGGATGGTTTTTGTTTGAAGGTATCTCCGGAACGGCTATATGTAGTGTAAGTTTTTTTTAATTGCACGCGGACGGAGTCGCGGACGACAGTTAGTTTACTTATAAAGGCTAATAGTGTTAAATGTAAAAGTACTAAATAAACCTAAATAATTATGTAAAACTAATCCTTCAGGATGTGTGTTCACACAGTATTTCAAAGTTACGTATGTGTTCCTTATCTAACTCAATGCACATTTGAAGGTCATATGTTTGCAACGTAGATCAAACTGGATGTGACCGCCACCGGTTACGCCTACGTTGTCATATACAGGAACACATATACTTAATATGGTATATATTCATGGATTGCCACTGTAAATATGTATATCCCATCTGAATGTCTATGAAATAACAGTGAACAAAACATTATGTTAGGTCTTCATCTTTAAAAATTATATTACGCCCACTACTTTAACTTGTAAAAAATGCGTTTAATTGCCTTTAAATATGTTTTATAAATAAAAATACCAAAATGGGTTCAGTAAATTTGGTCAATAATCATAATATTTAGCGCATCTGTCACATAATTTGTTTTAGGCGCGATATTATGAGATTCCCTTGCAGATACGGTGAGCGCGAATCGTGTTTTACCGCCATACAGTTTAATTCCGAACGGCGGGAACTGCGCACGCGCGTGTCGTTTGTTGCGTCGAGTAATCGAAACGAGTTTGAAAAACAAAAACGTTGTTTTGTTATTTAAATTTTGACATTTCATTTCTATATTTTTTTATATTGTGGCAGTGAAGTGAACTGGTTGGAAAAACGTGAGTTGGGGATAAGCGGTGCAAATAAAAAAAATATTAAGTTGTCTAGTGTCTACGATAATTCAATGTTTAAATTGAGCTCTGACAAGATCTAGAAAGAATTAGTTTAAGGAAGGATGCGATATTCAGTTATTTGAATTTAATTCAGTTGCGGATTTTTTAAAACGTAGGTAAAGATGTTCGGGGTTCTCGACAATGAGAGCCATAAATTTCCTCGGTGTTACAAATCAGCCTTGAAAATTTCCCCATGTCCAATGGAACAGTAAAAAATTCTAAGACACTAGGCTTGTCTTTATTACCTTAAGGATGAGCTATCTCTAGAACTCTAGATTGTATCATGATACTTATTGAACCGAATTAATAAATTATGCGGGTATAATATTAAGACGGAAATTTAATTTTTAAATCCATCCAATCCAAGTCGTAGGAGATTTATTTTATATTTTATCATGTTACCAAGTTTAATAAAACTTGATTAGCTGTCGCCCGCGACTTCGTCTGCGCGTATTAAACAAAAAAAAATATTAGTAGCCTATATGTTCTTCCAGACTAAAGTTCTACATCTATGCCAAATTTCAACAAGATCCATTTGGCCGCTCAACATCCATCCATCGTAATATATAAATGCGTTATATTATTAGTAAGATTTATCATATTTGAATGCTTTGTGAAATTATCTATTTGTACAGTTACATCAAAGTTTGGTTACGCGTTTGACAGTGAGAATAATTTTGTAACCAACGTGTATGCTTCTTTATTACATAATAGCGTTCAATCAACAGAGATTGTGATAAGGATTTTACTATGTGTGGTTTGTACTCGACTGGTTTTTGACTATCACGACTGTATTGTATAAACTCTTAAACGTATCAGTCAGTAGTATACAAATCAGTCGACACTACGTCTACTATTAATAGTATACGTTATAGTAACATACTAATAGTATGAAAATTTTGCTCCAATTTTTTACTGTTGAGGCATATATCGACTGCCTGACAAATGAAGTAACATCTTTTATGGGAACTCCCACGAATAAAGTTACACCTTATATGGAGATATCGAAGGGCTCTATTTGGTTCTCACTTTATAATGTTTTTTATAAACATTTCTACAGTGGAAACCTACGTTTACATTTCTGAATAAAGGAAGTGTCTGAAACCTATAAAAATAAATTAATTGAATATTGAAGTCGAAGTAATTCGCGACTGACATAGGGGAAACATGACACGATGAAGACTATGAAATGATTCCCGGAAGGTGAAACTGTTTTGAAGTTTGCCAATACGACAAATAAAATAAAATATTACTTACAAACGTAACTAAGCGAGGTAGGAAGGAACTTTGCATTTACAGAGGGGTACCAGGATTGCATGATCCTGGCGTACCTCTCTCGATTTCGTATAGTGATAAATTCTATCTAAAATCAAACCTACTAAAATTAATTTGATTCTGCCGTCGAAATCTCATCCGGGATGTAAAAAGTCCGATTACAGCATCCTTTGCAGTAGAACTATGTC